TCGAACACAGCAACGACGCTTTGAAGCCACGCGGCACCTAAGAAGTTGAGCGCGATACCTTCCGCCGCGGCTGATCGTTTGATAGTCGACACACAGTTGCCATTGGGTAGCTGGAAGACCATGTCGTCAGAACTCTGTGAGAATGTCTTCCCGGCAATGGTGACACCGAACGAGGGTGGAATCGCACCACAGTTGACGGTATAGCTCCCCGTGGAAGCGTTGTAAGTTGCGGGAGGCTTGAACGCTGCGTTCACCTGGTCTGCGATTTCCTGTGGGAGTTGGTTGAAGAAGTTTCCGCTATCAACAACAGCTTGGAAAGGTGCTATATCGGTCTGGGCAGACCTTGATGAGTTTCCAGCGCCCCAAACTACGTCTTCCACGGTCAATGTCCATTCGCTGATCTTGCCACCAGTCAGTTCGACCGGCAGCCCGTCAGTGATCTCCACGGGTGTAGCAACGAATGGCCCGCTAGTCTTCACACCGGGCAACACACCAAGGCCGAGTAACCCTCCACTCCCCATCGACTGACCTCTCGGCAGTCTGTCAAGCGTTAGACTGAACCAGGCGGGGATCAGGCCTTGTATGTGCATACGGAAAAGTAGCGGGTCGTATAGCACCTTATTCGTAAGAAGCGATAAGGTGTCGTTGGTTATACTCTTTCCAGGGTGCGCAGACGTTAGGAGGGGATATCCGAGCCCAAGAATTCCGCTAGATATTCCATCTCCCGGGACGGTAATTCGATCCGCGACCCCGATTACCTGGTTGTGCACTATGAGGTCGCCAAGCTTCACCTGTTCAGTCCCGACAATCCCCAGCGCGATACCCGCGCCGTAAGATACGCCGAAGGTCTGGTTTTTGAGCGTTGAGAAGGTCGACGACGCTAAGGGGTTGTACTTCGGGACGGCCTCGTAGTCACAAGCTTCCTGAGGCGCCAACTGCGTATTGTTCAGTCGGTCGAAGCATTGGAACCCGGTGCGGGCGACCCAGAGATCGCTGCTGCCAGTGTCAACCTCCAACTCGAATACGGAACTACCAAGCGCCACTCCCACGTCGAAGAAATTCCCCTCGGGCGAGCGCTTGACGGTGATTGGGACCAAGTTCGCAGACTCTCGATGACGAGGCGGAGGTGCACAGACGGATAGTGAAGGAACTAAGACGAGTAGTAGAGGAAATATTCTCGAATACATTGCGAAATACGATGCTAAGTATATTCCTCGACGCAATAGAAAACGAAATATGAAGTGGCGTTTGCTCAAAACAGATTGGTCTGCGGAGATGGCTCAAAGAAGTGAATGCCAGAATTGAGGAAGGCTCTCGAGGAATCTAGGTCTAGCATTTATATACATCATTCATTTTGGAGTTTACGCGAAGATCTAATTTCGAACTGTCGTGTACTCGAATTTGAAGCCATCGTGTATTCGACATTCCTTTCCGCATTGTCCTATAGTTGGCTCAGCCACTCCAGCTTACATTTGTCCACATGCCCTTATAGGATATTCTGGCTTGTTCAATTTTCTCAGTCGAAATCCACACGTAGCTGCCAGAGCCTCATTCGGCGCATCTCATGCGAATGAGCCCTCAGCTTGGACGACAATATGCAAGAAGAACTGTCCTGCCACTCCATCGTAAGAGTCAAAATCCTTTGGCCACCCGCATCCTTGCACATCCTTGCGGGTTGACTGACTTATCAGACAGCGGTAAGTGCAGGGGCCCGAACGCGGATATAGCCCAGTTTGACGTTAGCATACCTAGAACAGCCAGGTAAAGTTCATTGGCAACTGCTTCAAAGACAGCACTAGGATCTATAATTAAGATGTGGAAGCATGCGTGATAAAAAGGATGAATTGTATCAGAAAACTGCCATTAGTTGACTATCCCTCCGCCGCCAATCGGCTCAACCTGGGCTCAGTGACAGGCTCACGAGCTGACACAATGGCTCCTCAACATTCAACCCTCACACAAAATGGTTTCCAAAGTAAATCACACCAACTTATATCTAGCTAGTGTTCGTTTCATTAGAGTAATGAAATCTATCATTAGACGTAACATAATCAACGGATAGCCGAGCCATGGCCGTCATCAATATATGTGCTCCAATCGGCCCTCTCACTCTCCCTCTCCTCATTTCTCAACAGCCTTTTTGCAGAGTTTGTCGTAAGCCCACACCGTGAATCGCACCGCCTTAGCATCCACAAAGCGTGAACCCAGATCAGCGGCCCATATGATGACAAACCCGACGATGACAGCGGCCATACCAATACCCGTCCCGTACTGCCAGCATGATTCGGAACCAGTAATCTGCAGCAAGTATTTCCCAAGCCAAAAGCCTAGGCTGTGTAGGAGAAACATGTGGACTAGATAAAGTGCGAACGACACGCGGCCGAGGTACTGCGCCAGCCGAATCGTGAATATTCGTTGCAAGAATGGTGTACTATCAATTACCAGAATAAGAAATACCGCAGCTAAAGGCTGCCAGAAATAGTCGCCAGCCCTTATAGCATGGAAATGAGAAGGCACCAGCCAGGCCAGCGCCTTAAAGCCGTAGCTCTCGGCAGCGCGTCGGTCATGCAGTGGCATGCTCAGGATGAATAACACAATCAGGAAAACCGCAATCGAGCATAATCGGCGGAACGCTCGATTCCTCAAAACTCTAGACCACGGAAATCTACTCCGCCTAAATTTGATGCCATTGTCATCAGCTTCGTCGAGCCTTGGTTCTCTCACCCCGGCTAATCGCCGGTAACGAAGATTCGACTCGACCACGAGCACACCCCCTACGAACAGGAATTCGCCCCAGTGGAAATACCATAATGAATATAACGCGACGCCTAGCGTTATCACGACACGCGCTCTGGTCGTGCAGCTCGACAGCGCAAGCAACATAGAAAATACCACCATTGAACTTCTGTACTCTATCGGTAGCGTCCATAGCGAGTCGCTATAGATCCATGCTATGTGGCCAGGATTGTATAAATCAGAAAGAGGCATTACATTCTTGATATAGTGCCCAAATTGGCCCCAGATAGTTTCGAATCGAGGCGGGTTCATGGGATCTATCGCAGCGCCAGGCATGCTTTCTCCGCTGTAGCCTCCTAGATAGGCGATGACTGGAGCCGGGGCACAGAGAACTATGGCTGGAATAAACAGCCTTGGATGACGGCGGAAGATGGAGGATGCTAGTGACTGGTACATCTTGTGATATTCCTTTTTCTGAATCAGATTCAACGGCTTCAAGCTCAACGCATAGCCTGAAATCACAAAAAAAACCATGACATTCGGAGGCCCAGAGACGACTAAGCGGATTATCGGAAGCTGGATGAGATGGTCATTCCAGCTGGCCCAGCCATTGTGGATGTCCCAAGAGAACCAAATGAGCGACATGTGATGCAGAACAACGAATAACGCGGCAACACCGCGAAGACCATCTTTATTTTGTCAGCCTAGTAAAGTGTGACACGGTTGTATATGGTGAATATACTAACCTATCCATGCCGTCGGTCGCTGTTTTTTTGGTTCGACTTGGCCAGTCGATGGTTGGAGGAAGCTAGGAACGAGGGCTCCGAGGATTCGAAGCCATGGCCAAAAGCACGACCGCTTTCTCGATATACTTGCACCGGTAGATGGCACATTAGTCCCGAGGTTAAAGTAAGATGTTTCCGCATATTTTTCCTGCTCTAGGCGATCAGTCTCGTTTTCGAGAAGATGGTAACTTGCCGAACTATCGGCTTCATGCAGCCGGAGTCGCTCAAACACCTGAGAGATTTTCATGGTTCATGGACTAGGGCAGTGGTTTCAATCAAGAGTCAAAGGTAGAAGCTAAGATTTGGGGAGCCGTGAATAACTGGCGAGTTGGAGGAATGCTTTAATACAAGGATAAGCACATGTCCACAGACACATCTCGTACCCGTCACTCGTAACCGTCTGAGGGTGGATGAATTAAAAGAGAGGCGACGTAGTCCCGTATCACTGGGCCTGTGGAAGCTCCCACTTCAAGAACAAATGAAGTTGACGAAATCATATTCGACGCGGGTGATACACCTGCGTCAAGGGGCAAGTGTACATGGCGAGGTGTCTTGTTTGCGTGCACCAGGAACTCTGTACAAGCTTGCTGCCTGTGTGATCGAATCGGTGCTTATATCGGTGCTTCTGTGGGCTGAATTATTGATTGTTTGTTCATTCGGTAAGAATTCGGTCATTAATAGAATGCATTCTTGGGTCTTATATTGTCGTTTTAGTGCGGCTCTCACTCCCAAATGCTCCCCAAATTCCGGACTTGATGATAGATCCCATCTCGATCAGAGTGGCTTGCATGATTCTAAGTCGACGCGAATGATTGGGATTCTTCCGCGCCTTTAAAGTGAGACAACATGTATCACTACTTCAGGAACACATGGCAGATATGTGTACGTAGTTGTTAGAGACAGGAGGTTGAGAATAATCCATCCCAATGGGTCGTGCCGTCACACCACGTCACCATATCACGTCGCGCAGCTTAAATTGATTGTATTGGCGTGCCTGAAGCGCAACGTGCAGTCGCCCCCCATTAGCGAGACCAGAAGTAGCTGATTGACCAGACCTGCCATCTGAGGAGCTTGAAATGCGACATTTACTGTAGCAACGATGAAATGATCAGGCGCTCCGTACTTGGGATAGAATAGAAAGACAGGGGGCGAATTACACGAATCACTACAGTGGAAGCTTCACCTCGGAAGATGAAACAACATCGAATCATACATCATGAAGACCGGCTATCCGGCAATACACCGAGCAGTTCTTACACGGTGGCTTTCGTAGGTACATACCCACCCAGGTACCTCTTGCGTGATGTACAAGCCGTACAGGATACCTATAGGTAGAGCAATGTCGCGAAGAGCACGCCAAAGCCTCCCAGTTCGCTTCAGTACACACCCAAGCTACATACCCAAGGTATACCTAAAGTCCGGTACCTTCCAACAGCCCCCTAAAGCACAATAGCGAGCACACATCCCAACAGGACGGAAACCATCATCGTCTAGTGGTTTAGGATACCAGATTTTCATAAACATGGAAATTTTCTGGGGGCCGGAGTTCGAACCTCCGTGATGGTGTGTGCTTTCCTTTTCCTTTTTTTTTTCTTTTTCATCATTGTAATAAATACCAGTTGCTTAACCCCCTTAACCCTCTTCTCTTAGGTCTTTGGATTTCCGATGACCTCAACACCACTGACCGCATCTGGATTTCCCCGAATCTTCTCGATACACCTTGCTCTAGACATATAAATGCCTAGCAACTGACATATTTCTCAGGGCCACAAGACCTCATTCTCGCGACCTCTCCTACATGTAGGCTTACTTTCCCTAGGCAACAACCTTCACCGAGCCATGGGCACCACCCTTGGGCCCAAACATCTCCCTTACATCTCCCACAAGGTCCTCAGGGGCCTCCCACGCCGCGAAATGCCCGCCTTTCTCGTGGTGTCTCTCAAAGACGACATTCCCAAGCACGTGTCCCCATTCTCCTGGCATGACGATAACATCTCGAGGAAAGTGCGAAAGCCCAATCTTGACGTCTTGCCACGCCATCAACCGGTCACGAGCAGATGCAAACGCGCCATTAGCCTCCTCCGGCTTTCCGATCTTGGAATCCTTGGTGTTTAAGACTTCGTAGTACAGCTGGACGGCAGCACGGGGCCCGGCTGTCGAGAACCAGTAGATGCTTATCCACGTGCATACCTCGTCATCCGTCCAGGGGTACTCGTCGGTCCAGTCGACGAGCTTCTCGTATATCCAAGCGAGTAGGGCTGTGGGCGAGTCGGCAAGACTGTAGCCGATGGTCTGCGGACGCGTACCCTGAACTGTAATCGCGTTGGCAATTAGTTTCGCCCGATCATCGCAAGGTAGTCGGTCAGAAGTAGAATAGGGATAACTATATCCTCAGTGCTTGCAATTGCAAGAGCCCGATAACGTAGACACCAGCTACTAGTTGCGCTACACTACCATGGAGTTAGGAGAAAGTGCATACCTTGATTATAACCCGAGCCATGATCCCTAAACCACTTAGTGCGCTCAAAGCCCTTCTTGTCTCTCTCGGAGAAGCCCGTGACCAGCGACGATAGTATCGTCCGGAAGAAGGTGAGCGGGTTTCTGCGCAAGCTAGGCTGGGGATAAATATCCGTGTTCAGATGTTGCGCCTTGATGAACTCAGGCGCATATCTGCTCCCCATTGCCCTCGTAATCAGGTAACCCCAATCACCACCTTGCGTAGCGTATTCCCCGTAGCCGAGACGCAGCATCAGCTTATGGAAAAGCTCGCCTTGCTGGCCCAGGCTGAACCCGCGTTTCGTCGGGCCCTCGGAGAACCCGTACCCTGCCAGCGACGGCACGACGACGTGGAACGCGGGCTGCGAAGCATCCTCGGGTTCCGACAGTGGCTTCAGAATCTTGGTCGCCTCTAGGAAAGAGCCCGGCCACCCGTGTGAGAATAGCAATGGGATCGCGTCTTTCCGGCTACTCCGCACGTGCAAGAAGTGGATGTCCAGTGGCTCGAAGCCTGTTGCTTGGAGCTTGGTTCTGAAATGAGGCAGCTTGTTGAGCTCCGCCTCGGCTTTGCGCCAGTCGTACTTCTCGGCCCAGTACGTCGCGAGGCGCTTGACGTCTTTCAGCGGCGCGCCCATATCATTGCCAACGTCCTCGAGCTCACTCGGGAAACGGGTGCGGCGTAGACGCTCGCGCAGATCCTCGAGCTCGGCATCTGGGATGGCGATGGTGAAGGGACGGATTTCGTCCGCCATGATTCTGCCTGGTCGGTTTTTGCACTGGATTCCCTTCTTTGTCTAATATTCACTGTCAACGATCAATTACTTGTAATCCGCTCCAGACGTACTAATAAATACTGTCTAAGGCTGCCGTCAAGAAGATGTCGGAGAGAGTGGTGTCACCAGGGTGGCTGCGGATCTTGCCATACTAGGTTAGGGAATAATAGGTACTTTGCAGCCAACACCCCCATTAACAGCAGAGGCGTTAGTACCATTTCGGTACCGTATCAAAGCACTGTATCGAGTGTTCAGTAACACGAGTAGCCAAGCTATTGATGTGAACAACCATGAATGCAAGGATGATTCGAGATGCCGAATCCAGGTCCCCGAATTGGGGGGAAGATCGCTCATTCACCGGATTCCGCAGTATAACCCTGCGAAGCGGCCGTCGCCCGGAGAAAGACTCTTACGGATTACTCACCCCCCGGTCGTTACTTTAGTATACCTACCATCAGACCTTGAATGAAAATCTCGATAGCTTTTCAAGTTGCCTTATTCCGGATTACTCCGATTCTCTACTATATTTGTTTAGCGCGCTCTGGAATGCTTCGCGGGGTACGTGAGCGCTCCGTCCAATAGATCCTTAGATCCTAACCTAGAGGTAGTACCTCTCCATAAGATCCCATCCTCAGGTCCTTAGTCATCCATGGTCCCAAGACTCCTACGCCAACTTACTCAATATCTCTATGCTACATGTAGTCTCTGTTCTACAGCTAGCAGCCGATAGCGTTAACAGCATTTCCATCATATTTCTAAGGCGTTGATGGATAGGTTGAACGCTCAATTCATTGACTTGCTTATGAATCACAATAATGCCCCACAGAATTCCAGCCACCACGTTCCGATCCATGCGTGTTGTTCCGGGCATAGCAAATCCTTCCGTAGGTGTATAGCTCCAATCTCGTGATTCTTTCAGTCAGTAAACTTAGCACGCTCTCGGACGAACGTTTGAGCCAAACACGACAACAACGCAAGATCACTAGAAAGTAAATAAGACTATCTTTTCAGCTAAGAGAGAATCTACTCTCACCAATATTATTTATCATGGGGCATCACAACCGTCACTTCGCAGGTGATCGTCATGCCTTGAGTGGTGCCTGGAGCCCTCCAACGAGCAGCGCAAAGTAATCAAAGCCTCGATCTCTCTCGAACTATTCTAACGTATCTATTTGCCGGATATAATTACTAATTCCTACATAGCTTCTGTGAGGAAGACTATGCCCTCACTAGATATATTGCCGAGTTTATCAATACTTTGACAAACTTAACTTATGGTATATTAGCAGTCAAACCTTTCCTAGGATTGTAAATATAATGAATCCATTTCTAACATTTGTAAACTATCATCAGTTTTCTTCGCTCTTAGGTACATGTACGGCCCTCGAAGCCGCGGACTTTTTGCACCCAAGCCCGATTCCATGTCGATTTCTCTACTGGTTCTCGGCATCGCGTCTTTCTTGTTCCACGCATCTCTCCTGCAAACCCTTCAGTTTGGAGACGAGATCGCAATGCTTGGCCTTGTCTGGTCCATTCTGCAAGGTCTTCTGACCGTTAGACGTTCGTCTGCCTACGATCAATTGATCAACATTAGTCTGGCCACTATTTTCCCTCTTTTCGCCATATTCTACGTTTGGACTGGGAAAATCATATACCACGTAATCGGATTTTCTTTCGCAGTCGCCATCATCATAGCACGATGTGTCTACTTGTTCTACTGGCGAAAACCAGGGTTTCCGGAAACCAAGGTTGCTGAATGGAGGATGCGGGGATGGATAGCCCTTGTCCTAATGGGCGTCGCCTACGTCCTATGGCATATAGACCTCGAGTTATGCGCAGAACTTAGACAACTTCGGGACCGGGTCGGGCTGCCTTGGGCTTGGCTCCTAGAGCTACATGGTTGGTGGCATATTCTGACTGCTATGAGTGCGGCTCGCCTCATGGATATTGTGAGAGAGGTCCAAATGCATCTGAAAACAGAGAAGGAGGAATAAGTGTTTTTTGCTATACAAGAATATTCTCCGATCCTACAACATAGACATCTTAGCTACTATTATAGGCCATACTAGTGCCATACTACGCAAAAGGAAATGTGCGTACAAACACTATTAATACACTTACCAATCATAGATGATGACCAAAAGGCGATTTTTGCAAAGTTGTCTTGATAAAATCAGAAACAGAAACTATGTTAATAGAGTAAATCGAGATTTACCAGGAGAGCTAGAATCTTCGCACATTAAGAATTACCCTATATCAACGGTAACGCCTATTATGTGACACCGAGGTCCATCGTCCTCAAAGTTCTCTTTGAATGCCCTGAACCCTCCATCAAGGACCAAGTCGCAAATTCGATTTGTTTACCTCACAACCAAGTCTCTCAAAAATGGCCGTTCTGCTACGTGCTCCCTTAAAAGCTGCGGAACTATCTACAAAGGCTTCTGTCAAATAGCAGAGCAGCCAAATTAGTTATCTTAAAAGCGCGCGCAGCCCAGTAACCCCCCTCCCCCCCTCTCATATTGGTGGTGGTTCCGTGGGAATGTTGAGACAGGCTGGATTTCAGTAATGCTGGTTTCGGTAACAGGTTGCGGTTGGAGCTGTCTCTCGCTAGCCAGATAGGCATTACCATAATAATACGGCGTATGAGTTTTATAAACAGACTAAAGATACTTTGGTTCATCACGAGTCTGCAGAAACTATGCTATTGTTCTCCGAAAGTTCTCGTATAGAATAATCAAAGGACGATGGTCCCTTTATCTTAGCCACCAGTGTACTCAAACTTAGCCGGTTGACCTATTTCCTAACGACACCACGTATTCATACTTGATTTGCACTACCAAGACCCACTGGTGGCCGAGGCCTTTCCTCCACGTTTTTCTCCTACCACTTACACTCGCGAACTTTGCTTTGTGCCGGCTTGTTGTTCCCAGATGCGATCGTGGCTACTTACCAAAGTGACAAACACCTCGGAACTTGTCATACGGACAACTCCGCCAATACTGCCAAGACCACCTAAGCCCAATTAAGTAAGGTCACACTAACCACAACCAGACCATTGGATATAAAGACTGGTTGCGATATGCACGAAGGACCAACAGCATAAGAACGGAAGGTCATGGACACGAAGGATGCCCAACAGCCCAACGATGGGTAGGATGTACGGAGATACTCCCAGATTGTATGAAGCCCATACGGGTATAAATAGGCAGTCAGATTCCCACTCGGAAAGTCTCGAAAGGAGTCTTCATGGCCCTAGTAGACCCCTAGTGAATTATTAGATGAATATGACTAAGTTCT